CAAGGAAGGAGTTTCTTAAGGCGAGGAGCCGGAAGACGGAGCATGCAAGGGCGTGGGATCTCCGAGGCAGGTAGCTCCATAGATACCTCCGAAGGTGTAGGGTTTAGTCCAAGTATGCCCTTAACATAGCTATTATGTGCCCATTATATAGCTCATTATAGGGCAGGGGTCCCCATTAAGGGTCCCTCCTTTTCCCCTTTTGACTTAGGGTATATGGTCAGCTTATGAAGATCGACCTCTCGCGGGATATGCTTTTCAGAGGACTTGAGGTATAGGCTGAAGGAGCGGCTTCAATCTTCACGTTTCATGACCACAAAACTAAACCCTAAACCCTAAACCAAACATAGACTCCAAGTATAATTACTACAAAATCACAGAGGCCAGGCCTTGATGGCTTTTCAGGTCGCTCCCGGTTGGTTGTTTTGGGGAAAAGACGGTTTGTCGGGGCCTGCGCCCGAGGTGGCGGGTTTGCCACTTTCAAGAGCCTGCTCCGCCCGGCAAAGATCATGGTGGTTATGATCTTGGTTAAAGGTTTAACGTTTATAGGGCCTCAATTCAGTCTTCCTGCAGCCCTAAGCCCAGAAGCCAATCAACCCTCCCATTGCAATCTCTTGCTTCTGTCCGCTGCCATTCTGGATCATGTTTTTTTCATTCCACCGAAAGCCTCTCGGCAGAGAAGTGCCCAGTTCAGGCAGAAGACCTGACCGACCTCGGAAGCGTGCAGGCGGCACTAAGCATCACTGAAAACATCAGTGTAGTGATTGGCATTCGAGGACATGGGCTACTCAATAAGACTAGCCGGTCACCCAAAACACGCCAAAAGGGGCGGGAGCGTTGAGGGTATTCACCTAGTTTGCGAGCGCAGAAATCCGCCATAATGCAGTGGTAGTGTTGACGTACGGTTGGGGGACAATCAGTAATTAATGCCATTAATGCCAACACGAAACCAGCGAAGTCGTCCTTGCGAACCCTTGGTGTCGAAATCTTGAACACTAGCAGTTCCCCATGTGGAAAGCCATACCCGGACCGTGAAACCAACAGAGCTCGAGGCAATGGTGTTGTGGCTTTTCCTTGGGCTTGCCTTACCGGCAGCGGCACAGGCCAGCTCTTTGACACGAAGCCTGCGTGTATGCAGGACAACACACCAATAGTAGATTATTTCATATCTCTCGGTTTTCCTGATAGGGGATATGGGGAGCGACGCCGTGATTTCGTACGCAAGGCAGCAAGAGTACACAACAGGCATGCCGGAGTCTTCATGCAGAGTTGGAGGTTGTGGGCCTGCAGCGGATCACGCGAACTACAAATCTTAGGGATTGCCCCGTGGTTACTCCCACATCTCTTTAGCGGGATAGCAGACCCTAAACCCTATACCCTTGTCACGGTATGTATTGCGAAGTTGCTGTAGTGGGCAATCGCACTGGTTCTTAATTACTCATTCGACCATTCGCCTCGCCTGGATCGTGCAAGCCTCCGGTTCTGACGTGCTAGGCACGGGATGCACAAGGGAACATATGACTAAATAATACTAAATAACTACATAAACCAATCTGTCTGTCTGTCTGTCTGTCTGTCTGCCTGCATGTCTGCATGGCATGTGTGCAGGTATGGCATGTATGTAGAAATATACTTACGCACATATGCACATGTACTAATGCACATACAGCACACATACATGTATATCTGCATGTACACATACACATACTCTCCTACACATGCAGATAAGCATGCTACTGCATATACACTTGCATATGCCGACGCACATGCATAAACTCGTGAATGTATACACATCCCAAGAAGTCGAGGCTTTAACTCCGGAGCCTGGAACACCACTGTTTCTGCTTGGGCATAAGACTCGCCAGGTTAACCGATCTCATTTTCTCGGAGCTTCGGCGAGGTCACAGCGAGGACTTTCGTGTTTCGGGCTTCAGGGTGTCAGGGTGCATCCGGGCTTCCTTCATACGGCTGGAAGGGGCTTGTAGGGGAATCTCGGGTTCAGTAATTAGCCGTCTGGTGAATGAGATGTACAAGGCTTAAGGCCCTAATCCAGCAATAGCCATAGTTGTAGTTACAACTGGAGGGCAGCAAGCCCTAAACCCTGAGGGCTTAAGCCTTAATCCTCTTAGCCCCAAACCCGACACCAATACTGCTGTCATCGACATCGCGGTAATGCTGTGTAGATTCAGGGTAGATGGCTTTGGCGTCTCTCGTGGCTCATAAATATGACTCACTTCTCGCTAGGAGTCGGCCGTCGTGCCAGCCCTGGCATGGACTGTCCAAGTCACTCATGAGTGACGCCCTAAAGCCCTGTTAGAGTCCAGAAAACAGCCTCGCCTGCAGAGTTCGAGTTGTGACAGTCCAAACCTCCCTGCACGCCAAACCCGCCAGCCCTTGGGTATTTTAAGGCTTTAAGGGGTATCATAAGGTATTATAGGGGGCACCGGGTACTTTAAGCTACTTGCTACGAAGGCTACTATAAACCCAGAAGCTTTGGAAGCCTTGGCATAAAGCTTGCACCTCAGGGCTCTCCCGGGTACTCGCTGAGGAAAGCAGACGCTTGAGGTGAAATCCCAAAGCCAGCGCTGCGGCGGGCTCGACCTTCCCGAGAATGCAGGCTTGGGGCTCGTTGCTTTGGTAGGAGCGAAGACTTCGGAGTGGGGCTTGAGCGGGTCCTGGTGTGATTAGGGGTTGGGTTTTGTTCTACATCGGAAGGAATCTCCTCTTAAGTAGCCGGTAACAGGTTTGGAGAGGACCCTCGTTTTTTTTGTGAGAGTCCCTGTAGGTTGCAAGCAAGTGGTTGAGTGGGCGGCCGGTGGCGGCAAGTGGGACAGCTCAGCCGGGGGCTGGTTTCACAACATGCCTTCGATCACCGGTGTTCACCACGAGCAAGGCAAGCTAGAGGATTTCCAAAGGCTGTACTACTGCTCCCCACCAGGGGACTCCTTCTGTGGACTGCCACCCTGCTCGGGATGCAGCAGCCCACCCTGCAGTGATTGCTTCGCAGGCAACCAGTTGTATGCCAGCCTTCGCCCTGGCTGCGACGGGAATGACAAGGGTGTTGGGTGTGTTCCCCCGAAGACTGCCATGGGCTACAAGGGCCAGCACTGGCCAACCACGGTCGTCCATGGAACTCAAGAGATGCATATCTTTGCCATCGGTGATTGGGGTGGCATGGATGGCTCCCTCGATCCGCCAGAGGGACGGCCCACCATCGTCGCTTACGATTGGGGTCGGCGACCAGGTCCGAGCGTCTTTCCCAGGAGTCGGTGGAACAAAATGCACGACGTGGAGTATTGCAATCATAAGCAGCTTGTGGAGTGCTTTAATACTCGTGGCCAAGCTCCATGCGCCCCAGAGTGCGGCTACGTGGCGGGCGTAGACGATGAGCCGCAGATGCTGGTGGCCAATGCCTTCAAAGCCCGTGCCGCGCTAGTCGACCCGCAATATATCCTCAATGTTGGGGATAACTTTTATTGGGGCGGCATCGAAAAGACGTGTGGGAGTCCGATGGATCACATCTCGTACCCCACGAAGCACCAGTTTGATCAGATCTTCGAAGGTGTCTATCAGGGGGCCGGCCTCACCAACAAGCCCTGGTTCAGCGTCTTGGGCAACCACGATTGGGGAGGCTTCAAGTTCGACAACGGCTGGGATCAGCAGATCTCCTACACCTGGGCCAGCAACCGCTGGGTCATGCCCGCGCCGTACTACAAGACCTCCGTCGTCTATGCAGACCTCGGCTTCGACGTGGACTACTTTTTCTTGGACTCCAACTTCATCGATGCCATGCCGCCAGAGGAGGACCCCAACCACAACATGTGCAGTCGAAAGAACAACAAGGCCTCTGCCAGCTGTGCTGCAGCGGATGGCCCCGAGTCCGTGGATGCCTGCCCCGGCTGGTTCGCATCGCTTTGGGCGGAGCAGAAGCCATGGGTCACGGAGCTAATGGGACAGAGTAAGGCGAACTGGCAGATTGTGGTCACCCACTTCCCCTGCGGACATGAGCAGGACTTCTACAAGTCCTTGCGTGACTTGGGGATGGATCTGCTGGTCACGGGCCACCGCCACGACCAGGAGCTTTGGCTTCCTGACGACTATGCCAAGAACCATATGGGTGTCACCTGCATCGTGACTGGTGGTGGCGGCGGCATTACTTCCGAGGCTACACCGAATCCAGAGGAGACGGAGGACTGGTACGGCGAGGCACAGTATGGTTTCTACGATCTCACCATCAGTAAGTCGGAGATCTTTATCGAGTCCATCAACTACGATGGCGAAGTTCTCCTGACGCACACAGTGCACCCATCACGGTGAGTTTCTTGTAGATGCAAGTTTTGCAAGCGGAAGTGCGGACAGGCTGCGGACATAGCAACTTCCACTCTTGGCCAGGCCCCTTCCACTTTTCATCCACAGAAGGTGGATCTTCGGCCCTTCAACTAGGGCCGGTTTCTTGTTCAGCTTTTAGCAGGGTAGGCCGGACAGGAGTGTGTCCCCACGGTTTCGGCATCATTCCTGGACTCCTTCCTACCCTTTTGATCTTTAACAGCCAGACACTGTCTCGAGACTTCTCTCCTTGGTATGCAGCGGTTTGCATGCTTCCGATGCTTGTCATTTCCAGAGATGTCTCGAGTCATGACGGCTGAAGCTGAAGCGCTTCAGGTCTGCTCCGAATTCCCTAGGACTCTGCAAGTGAACGCCCGACCGATGAAGTTGTCACAGCACCATCCGGAACCGGCACGTCTCCCTGAGGTTCTGATCTTGTACCTTTCCAGTAAGAGCGGGAGTATAAAGCCGAAAGACCCTGTGCCCTAAGCCCCCAGACCCTTTCGGCCGTAACCCTTATAGTAACTTGATAGCCAAACCCTAAACCCTTCTAGTAGTAGCCGTGATAGCCACTTTTACCGAGGCTAGTCTTCATCGTGGCCTTCTTCATCATCATGAACATCCACCCCTTGACTTTCCAGAACTCCCTGGCCTTCATACCCTTGGCTTGCATGTTCATGGCGCCCCTTGGGCCAGATTTAGAGGCAGAGGGTCTTGCGTCAGGCGTTCTTGGTGCAGCTCCGAGCACTCGGGAGCCTCGCAAGCAGCCCTTGTGTCTCCGAGCATCTTCGGAGCGCCGGAAATAGCCGGTGTCGCCGGATCGAGGAGCAGGAGCAGGAGCAGGAGCAGTACAAGCATGATATCTACAAGCATGATGAGTTTAGACCCCAGATATCGAAGACAAGGCCACCCCAACTCTATGAGCCATATCTTGGGAAAATTCGCTGCGGGATGCGCGGATCCGTTTGTTCAGCATGGACACTTGAGGATAGGATTTCACCGTTTGGGACGGTTCTGTCCGGTTTGGTTGCAACGTTATAGCATGGAAGAGTTTGCGCGAGAGCCTTTGAACTGGAGTCCCACTTGGGCCCCATGAGCACAGGCTCAGAGACCACACTCCGCTCTATGTCTCGGGAGTCGGAAGAGACACCTGGCTGGAGTTACGTTCGGGTATGCTCTGGCTGGTAGGTGGAAGGGCGGGGAGCAGGGGAGTCCAGAATAGCCCAGAGACACACAAAGGTGTGTTTGTTTTCTGCAGTTTTGCCTCTTTGCTTGAGTGTTGGCGACAGGGGAGTCACCCGTTGTATGGCGGTGGTGATAGCCGTCATTGTCCTCTCATGAATGTAGTACAAGGAGATGTGCAGTTCTCAATCTGGTGAGACGTGACTGCAACTGATCTAAACTGTGCAGAATATAAGGTATGATACAGGGCCCCAACTTCAAGAAGTTCTACAGTGTGTGGTGCAAGATTTACCTGTCTCCGGCTTCCTGCTTTTTTCTCTGCCTTAAGGGCCGAGTCACAGGGGCTGCGATTGAAGCCACCGAATTACGGCCCCGTGCCCTGTAACGGCCCCCTCTGCTGCTCCGAAGGAGCTGACATTGAGTCGCGACCTGAAATGCTTAAACCACAATCAGACCAAGCATCGCGTGAGTTAGATTCCAAGCGATGCCGCATAGGCTACTGCGGACCCCCAATCCTAGGGATGCTTAGGGGGTAAGGGGGAGGGGGGTAGGGGACTACACTTCCTTCACTAGGCCTTAGTGAGTGCTTTTATGGGTAGTCATGAAGGCCCCCTACCCCCCTCCCCCTACCCACCTAAGACCTAAGGCCCTAAGGGTCCTTATGACTCAAGTCAGACCCGACGAGTCCAAAGACCAACTCCAAGAGCCCCCGAAACCTGAAGCTGTCAAAATCCTCCCTAAACCCGGTAAATCTTACACCCTACATCCTAAACTTGTGTCTGGCTGTGTCCGAGTTTTTAGAGCGTAAATCCTAAACTCCTAAACTTGTCATGAAGCCACCCAAAACATGCCTCGCCTCGATCGTCCGAGTGTGAGCACCGAAATCCTAAGCCCTGACCCGAGCAATTCAGAGCGGTGAGGTTGTTTTCGTCTCCACGGCCATCCTCACATCCATCCTCGCCTACTTGGGTGAGCGACTGGCTGTGGTTTGCGCCATGCTGTTGGGTTACAGTAGAAGCCAGAAAAGTTGGAATATCATTATCGTAACCCCTTTAAGGTAAATTATAGGGGATCCTACCATTAATCCACATTCCAACTTTCTGGAGTTCCCCATAAGGGTTTATGCAAAAGGGCTTAGGGTTTTGGGTTACTGTTGGGCTACAGGAGGATGGCAGCGCGCAGGAATGGAAAGGTCCAGCCACCGCTTGATCCGTTGATATTTCGTGAGAGACTCGACGACATCGCATGGATGATTGTTGAGGGGGGTGGCTGAGAGGCAGGGTCTGTGAACGCAGGTATATGCTGCCACAGCCTGAGCGTCCAGTCCACCCGAGTTTTTGGCATAGTATTATAGTATTATGGTACAAAAGTATAATCGAATTAAAGAAAACAGTAGAATTAATAGTATAATAGTATAAGTAATAATATTTTAGTATTGCAGTATTAGAAGATTCTAGACACAGCGGGGGAGCAGCCTGAGAGCTCCATCCGTCGGAGACCCCGATCCCAGGCAGTCCAGCCGGGGGCTTTTCAAGTCCAAGAAGAAGGCCACAGGGAAATGGCGCCTTAGGGTTACTTTAAAGTGCTACTATAAGGGTACTATAAGGGTCCCTTTAAGGGGCTTTGTCAGGGTTTAGAGTTTCCAACATTAGGGTTACCTTAGTTTGGGGGTCCTTATAACAAGGATCCTATGTTCATTTAGGGTAGGGTCCTCTATTTCCGGAAACTCCCGAATGAGCAGCAGGACGAAGCCCCGAGCCCCAAGCCTTGGGCCCTGATGTGGCAGAAAAAGCTGTAAGTTTGAGGAACCCATCGTGGGCTTGAATGCCAGGATCAAGCAAAACAAGCCAGGCGCACGAAGTGCACCCATGTCCTAATCCTATACCCTGCCCTGTCTATGCAAACAAACAAATATACATATATGCATATACACACATTCATATATATGAGGGGGGGGATAGCATATATATATATATATATCTACATATACCTCCCCCATACCTACTTACCTATCTACCTTCCCACCTACCACACACACACACATACATACGTCCGTACATATGTAAACACAAATGCAGATGCGTACATGCGCACATACATGAATGCATGCAGACATGCGGGCTGATGCACCCGTATGATTACACCGTGCAAGTTGAAACATACGACTTGCACAGGCAAAAAAGAGAGAGATATATATATGTATACACATATCTATATTGTGTAGAAATACATATACACACACATGCGCATCACACGCACGCATCCAAGACCCCAAAACTTAAATTTGCCGAGACGTGGCCTTCCCTCTGAATCCGGCGAGGTTGCCAGACGAGCCAGCGCCGTTTGAGACCTTTTACAGCCTCCAAAAACTGCGAAGGGGAACCCGTGGTGTTTAGGGCCAACAGGCTCGTGGGTTTAGGAACCGAAGGCTTATGCGGATGACAGAGGGCGAGGCCCCCGTAGGGCGTCAAGTCACTCCTACGGCCACACACCCAGATCCACAAAGATTCCTGCAGATGAGATCTGAAAGCACCCAGCCACCATCCCAATGGTCCCCCTTAAACCCCTTGCGAGTCAGCCTGTGGTCTTTCAGTTGAAGTGTAGTTGCAGTAGCTTGGGAGGGAACAGTTAATGTGAGCCTCGGCTAATGCGCTAGAGGTGTGGCCAATGCGCCGTTGTCGGGACTGGGATTCCTCGCTGTGGTTTGTCCGAGAGTGAGTGCTGAAACCCCTTGAAACCCCTTCGTATGGAGAGGTCAAGGAGAGCACCCGCCGCATTCACGGCATCCTGCAGACCCTCATGCCGGCTGAGGTTCTGGAAACGCTCCATGGACGCGTTAGTCATCAGTCGCCCCAGGGGAACTAGGGTTGTTAGGGTTTAGGGTTTAAGGGTATGGGGTTGAGAACCGCAGGCTTCAAATCCAAGCCCTAAGCGGCAAGGAACCGAGGGGAATGGGACGTTGGACGTTGAAGTGTCCGCTTGCGACCCAGACTCGAGGTTCTGACTATAAGCAGCAGCACTTGGAGCTTTGCGCTTATATGGGGGTCTCGACATTCTGTGGTTTACTTACATCAAGTATAAGACCAAGGACAGGGATTTGAGGAATGACAGTAAAGAATATTCAGGCTTCCATGTTACTTAGGGTTTCGAGAGTCGCAGGAGGCAAGGTTTGCGGAAGGGCCTTTACCGGGTCATCAGTTCCACAGCCCTGAGCGTAAAAGCCTGCACTGCACTCTGCTCCTTAGGGTTCAGGGTTTGGGGCTTAGGGTTTAGGACCTACTATACGGGCTTGAGTATTTGGCGAGAACCTCTATACTTTACCTCATCCTCAAGGCCCCGGCCCGGGTATTCCACACTTGAGAGACTGGCTTGTGGGCCCGGACAGGTTGCCTCTCTTGTGAAGATCGCTAGGCCGAGAATGCCCCAAGTAGATTTTTCCGGGGGAGGCTGGGCTGATATAGGTTTAGGTCTAGGTCCAGGCAGGTACAAAGCAAGAGACTCAGAGCCCAGCTGCAAAAGGGTCCAGGTCCAAGAGGAGTGCGGTGGAAGTGGGCCCTCGAACTGCTTGACAAAGAAGCGACTAGACAACTTCAACTGCGCCCTAAACAACACGAGCACCCTGAACTCTAGACCAACCCCTAGGCCCTACGCCGGAAACTACAACCCCTAATCTTACAACTCTGAAGCCCCATAAGCATGAGAGCCCTACTCAGCCAGCAAAGCCTGAACCCGAAAACCGAATAGAACCCCCGTAGAACCCTCAAATAGAATCACTTCTTAACGGAACAGCCTGAACCCTACCATTTTAGAGCCGAGGCTGCACAAGCTTGGACCAGGCCCAGCGACTCGAAAGACTGACGTGCCAGGGTTCCATCGGGGCTTTAGGATCTATGAGGGCATAGGGGCTTTGGGTGTAGGGCTCTTTGAGGCTATTATAGGGATTTCCATAGGGCGTTCCATCGGGCTTTCGGGTTTGTAGGGTAGTATGAGGGTCACCACAGGGTTCGATGGGGCTTTGGGGTTTCGGGTCTATAAGGGTAGCCGAAGGGTCGCCATTGGTCGAGATTTTTTAGAGTGCTTTTTCGGAGTTTTACAGGTTAGGGTTGAGGGTTTCTAAGAGAACGGTCAGCAAATGTCGTTCTTCGCCTGGATATGGCAAGATATATTATACTTTAACATGATAAAACACAAAAGATAGTGTAACATAGTGTACTGTAACAGATTATAGTTTAAGATGGCGTAGTTTAGAAGGGCTTAGTATAGTATATACGTGAGAGAGAGAGAGAGAGTATATCAAGATACAGTATTATATAATGTAATGCAGTATGTAACATAATATAATATGATATGACAGTTGATGTTAGAAGCTGAGAAGAAGCTTGAACGGATGTTCTTTGCTTTGGAGGAGCTCGTCATGGTCTGCCGCCTAAAGTCCATCATGATTATGCTTCTGCTGTTGTTAGTGTTACGAGTGCAACAGTAAGAAAAGTTATCAGCATTGATTATTCTGCATTCTTATTATTAGGATACCATAGACCCCAGACAGTGAATGACCACTGCAGGACCACACCAGGACACTATGCCAAGACACCCCACGGCACGAGATCAGTCCAACAACCCGCACTCCAAAACCGCACGGTACGCTCGCGGCGTGTCAATGTTAAGGGACACTACAGCGAACGGCCTGTCGCTGCTAATATAGGGGCCTTAATAATTACCAATACTGTTTTGGGGGTTCCTTGTTAGAATTATAGTGTAGTGGTCCCCAAAGCCCTGTTCTAATTATTAAGGCCCCTGTGGTAGGCGCTTCAAGCATAGCGAAGGCACCACCTTGAAAGTCACAAACCCCGCACGCACAGGAGTATGAGAGGCCGATTTATTCTGTGACTCTGCTAGATCCTGCTATGCCTTTAGACATTTCGAGTGTGTTGGAAGCCAACAGCGCCACTGCGTTGGCCTTCCTAGAGACTCCAATATCCCTTAACGAATATTCCTTAAATCATATTAGGGATCCTACTATAATTTAAGGACTATTCCTTAATTAAGGGATATTGGAGTCTCTGGGTTAACAATGAGCTCTTTTCATGCTTGGCAGCCCGGGCCGGCGCTGCCTGCAAGCGCGTCGGCCGCGGGGGGGGGCCATGCAGGCATATGGGTGGTTGTCAAAATTGGGGTCCCTTTTTGGGTCGCTATGATAATACAGCACGTATTATTTAGGGCACCCCAAAAAGGGACCATAATTTTGACAACCACCCATATGCAGGCTTAGGAATCACCCTGACCATAGGAACTCCAATCCATTCCCCTTTTTTTGTGTCTGCATGTAAGAACCCCACGCGTATCGCCACGCAGTTTCGGGAATTCGTCGAGGAAGATCCTGAGCGGAACGGTACAAATACAGCTGAGCATGCAGATGCTAGCTTTACGCTGTAGTGACTACTGTTGGCAAGTTCCGTGTTATCTCGGACCCCGAAATAAAGATCTTGAATTTCATTCGCCGGAGCCGACACTCATTGGAAAGACTGCCAGGCAGAACGCCGTCCCACCACTACAACCAGGCCGGATCTGTGACTCAAACAAACGGTTCTTGGTGTGCTGTTGTAACGAATGATGTGGCGAGCGGTGTATGCTCCGAATCCGCAGCCAGATTCGAGGCCAAATGCTAATTTGAAAGCACGTTGAAGGCTTCTGTTGATTCGCAGACCTTTCTTATTCCAGGATTTGGCGAGTCCTCTTTCTGACCCTGGCATGTCAGCGAAAGCAGCAATGTCCAGAAGAATTGGCTGTTGTTCATATGAAGCTGATGCTAGTATCATTTTGCTCCGAACGACCCGGATCGGATTTGGCGTGTCACCCGCCCAACAGTACCAAGTATGCTGTGACATGCGTGCAGCCCGTCGTTGGCCTTGGTTGTGCTGGCTGTTTGGCATCTAAATCCCCAGCAATTTCGGATAGGAGACGGATTGAGTGCTGGATTTTGGCTTCAGTTGGTCCCTGCACCCTAAGCCCGAAACCCTGCGACAGGCCACGATCACGCAGTCTGACCTATGCGGCTTCACCCAGCTCTCCTCCACGAAGATGCATGGCTGCACGGGGTTTAGGGGTTTAGGGTTTAGGGCTGGCCTGAGTCGAAACCCTACAAGAGTAAACGGCGTAGCTCCTAAACCCTGCACTTGTAGTTGGGATGAAAAGCTTTTCGGCCCTTGGTCTCCTCCAACAGGATGACCCCACCTTCGTAGCACAGACTTTGGGGTGCAAGATGAATTGCGAGTACTGCGTCTTCTGGCAGTGTTTCTATCGCAGTTTTCTGTCAAGGATCCCCAGGAGGCCTTTAATGTTGTTTTTTGTGTATGCAGCTGTGTCAAACTTTTTTTGTTGGTTCGGTACTAGTGTCTTTGTATGTGCTGCGGCTATTCTCGGCTAGAGTATGACGACGACCTTTGTTCCTTAGGATGTTTCAAAAGTTTTGCTGTATCGTGGCAGCAGCGGCCACGCCGACTAGTAGTACCGGTCAGCTGATCCTATTCCCACGCTGCTCCTTGGTAGTAGCAGTGTCAGCGCTGGTGGTAGTTGTCCGTCGTCGTCCTAATCCTTTGCCTCGTCGTGTCATAGTCTGGTCGTCGCGGGTCGTCGGGAGGGGGCTAGGCGGCTAGTCAAACCGCGTTCACTCTTCGAGCGCCTTGAAGGCTTGCGTAGCATAAGACATGGTCATACTGCGGGTATGTCGAGCGACTAGGCATTCTGTAAATTTAATTGTATGTATGCGGCGTGTATGTAGAATCTAGAACAGAATGTACTATTGTTGTTATATACTGTTTTTTTCATGATTGCGATGATGATGATGCCGATCATGTTGATGACGCTTGCTGCTGCTGATTATGACGATGACGATGCACCCGTTGTCTGGTTTCTTCGTGTACATGCCACTCAACAGGGGCATGATGCTTTCTGCCTTCGCTCTGCTGGAAGCATACTCAGGACACCGCACGAAGTGGTGGGCTTCATGGGCGACTTGTTTGGGAGGCCGCCGCTCGCTGTTCTGCTGGAATCATAGGGTTTCCTTCGCCGCGGTGATGTGGAGTGCGCCAGACATGCAGCAGTAGCAGCGTCTGCAGCGGCGGCAGTGGCAGCGGCAGCAGCAGCGGCAGCAGACTAATTATGATCATTCCTAGCCATGGTATTGGTCACCATCATCGTCGCTCATCTTTGTCGCTACAATCTGAATCTGAGTCATTATCAGTACCATTTATTCTTTGTCAGCATGCTTCTTCCTTTTCGCCTCCACCCCCATCTGCACATCATCATCGGGATTACCACCACCATCAGCACCATCACCACCATCTCCAGCAACTGCTTTAGCAACACTCTCAACTTGACATGTAAGTTTTTTGCAAGCATTGTCAGTGTATCATGGCCAGTGCTCACCAAACCCTTCACAGACCTGCTATATAACTAGTGCCTACCGTCCCCGAAAACCCGCTTCCCATTGTTAAGGTAGCCCCTCATAGAACCCTTTGCAGAGCCCTAGAACCCATAGCCTTATAATGCAGAAACCTGATTAAGAAACCCTAGGCCTATAACCCCAAAATAGAAGGATGCGCATAAGGAACCCTAATCAAGGCCCAAGGTTTCTTCATCAGGTTCCTACATGAGAACTCTTCGCAGAAATCTTATAGAAGCAGAAACCCCCTAAACCCTAAACCCTAAACCCCTAAACGCTAAACCGTGAAGCCTCCGGAGGTTCGATGCCCTCGCCAGCGAGTTTGGCATCTACAAGGTCGAGACGGCAGCTCGGACTGTCAGCTTACCCGAGGGTTTTTCGGGGTTTTAGAATTGTGGGGTTTAGGGTACGGCAAAGTCTGAGTTCAAATAGGGTTTTTGGTGTTTTTAGGCTTTGGGTTTGAAGGTTTAGGATACGGCAAAATCTGAGTTCAAATAATAGGGTTTTTGGGTTGTGGGGCTTTAGGGTTTAGGGTACGGCGGAGTCTGAGTTCAAAAAGGTTTTAGGGTTTGGGTCTGTTCATGTGCATGCGTCAAAAATCATTCAGGTGATCGCACAAGTCCACCCAACAAACATGATAACACCCTCCAGCTGCAGCCTGTTGAGTGCAAGTGACGTATGTCTTCGTGGGGTGCTATGGTCTGGGGTGCAAGTGTCCATCTGGTCGGCCTACGGCGGATTCTTTCGGATTCTTGGAGGCGGGTCTTGCCTTGGGGAGTCTTAGCCTGAGGAGCAGTGCCGGTCCACCTCTCTCTCTGAAGTTGTGGATTGGTCAACAGCAGAGACCGGATATCTGCATCTATAGCTTGGGGGCTGTCGCGCCACATGTTGCGGTAGTACACTGGTGGTACATGTACTCCTCTCCGCCTTGTCTACCTCTCGTGCCCTCGTGTCATGGCAAACCATGACCTTAGAATGAGGAGGCTTCTGTGTGAGCTTTTTTGTGGTGTATGTTTTCAGCCTGTTTTCACGGATGCCAGCGCTGCGGTGATTCCTCGGCATCCTGACTTGGAGCTTCCTTTGTGCGTCTTTGTTGATAGGTTGGGTACTGCCCCCATTCATTGGATAATATTCATAATTTTTTATCTTAGGACCTTACTTAGTAGTAGTAGTAGTAGTAGTAGTAGTAGTAGTAGTAGTAGTAGTAGTAGTAGCAGTAGTAGTAGTAGTAGTAGTAGTAGTAGTAGTAGTAGTAGTAGAAGTAGAAGTAGAAGTAGTAGTAGTAGTAGTAGTAGTAGTAGTAGTAGTAGTAGTAGTAGTAGTAGTAGTAGTAGTAGTAGTAGTAGTCCTATTATCGACTGTTACTGCATGGGGGGAGTACCCAGTTGCTAGCTGCGTTCTGTGCAGCGCGAAGCTCCATGGCTCCCCCTTTTTTTGTCCGAGTGTCCCGAGGGCGAGATCCCATACTCACCTTCGAAACCCTCCACCCCCAAGAAGATCCCTTACAGTAGAAGCCAGAAAGTTGGAATATCATTATCGTATCCCCTTTAAGGAAACTCCCATATGCATATCGGCCTATAGGGAACTCCAGAAAGTTGGAATATGGTTTCATGGTAGGATCCCCTATAATTTACCATAGAAGGGGTTAGGATAATCTTTTTCCAACTTTCTGGCTTGTACCTTAGGCCGATATGCATATGGGAGTTTCCGAGAATTAGGGGTACCTTGTGTTGGGGTCATAGGGATCCTACTATTTAGGGTGCTATATTTTGGTCCCCTATGTTCGGAAACTCCCATGTAGTCCAGAGAACCCGGAAGCCCCGATTCTGATTAGAAAGGCCCCTGGAGAAGCAGATAGCGAAGACTCCTTTCACATGGCTTCTTCTCGAAGCCTTTCTGCGAGGTTGGTGATGCCTACATCGCTGGCATGGCCTGGGTGACGGGAGCGACTTGGGAATAAACAGTTTCAGTGCCGGTTTGAGGGGGTTGATTTTTTTGGGTTTGGGGTGTGGGGTTTAGGGGTCTGTTAACTAGCGAAACGCCCAGCTTGACTGACGAAGTCGTCAACTACCTCTGGCAACATCATTGCAAGGCGGGAGGCAAGAATAACGAGTTAAGGTCTTTTGATTTTCGAGTCTTGGAGTTCCACAGTGCTGTAGGGTTCTCAGGATTTGGGGGCAGGCAGGCATGTGATGCAGGCGTTAGAAGAGACAGAGCGGAAGAGAGAGAGAGAGAGAGAGAGCCAGCGAGAGAAGAGCAGGCAGGGTTTGCGCTTGGTGATTTTTGGGGTTTACATTTGGGTTGAGAGCCTTAGGGTGCGGCGTGTTAGGTGTTGGCTCTCGGCGAGCTTGTGCCTTAGAGGTTTTCGGGTCGAGAAGGCACGGGTTTGACCCGCAGGGTTTGGAGCATAAAGTAGGAATTTGATTAGGAAACCTTGGGTCCTTATTAGGGTTCTATAAGGGTTCCTTTGAAGGGTACTATAAGGGTACTATTATAGTTTTTTTTTTTTTTAGGGGGGGGGGTTGCTGTAGGAACCTGATGAGGAACCTTGGGTCCTTGTTAGGGTTCCGTATATGGATCCTAGTATTTGGGGCTATAGGGCCCGGGTTTCTTCATCAGGTTCCTACATTATTCGTCTAAGGAGAATGGCGCCCCACTGCAGAAGCTGACTGAGAAGAACTCGGCGCTACAGGTGCACTGGGGATGCGGGCCAAACCTAACAGCCGGAATTCTTCAGCGATCAGTTCTTCGCAGGGGCCCGGCAGAGGTTTCGGATAGTTGGGTTAAGGGGGCAAGGGCTACGGATAAGGGGTTTTCTGCAATCATGCAGGGTTTGCTCTAGAGGCTTCAGAAAGGTTTTCACGGAATCCGAAACCCTAACGTAAAGGTTTCTACACGTTCCTTAAAGTGACTCTGTTGAAGCCTGGACAAGCACCAATATTTTTTGGGGGGCCCATACCTATAGTCACACTAAAAGATTTCCCCAGAGCCCTATTCCAAGTTTGAAGGCAGCCGAAACCCACCAAAACCCGTACAACACCCTTGTATAGGCCCCTTGAAAAGGAGCCCTTTAAGGGAACCCCATTCTAACCATGAAGACCCCCTAAAGTTATCTGAGGAGCCGAGACCCACCGGCTGAGGGTATGAGGGTTCCGATAAAGAGTTGAAGCTTGCCATAGACGGTTCCCATTGCGGTTACTAGAAGAGTGCGGGTGCACATGGCGCCGTGTAACTTGCATGCGTCGTGTAGGAAACTCAGGTTTAAGAGCCAGTTACAGACAAAGCAGGGTTGTAGCGCCTGCCGGAAAGCTTCGCGAGATTTCATTCATTGAGTCGCATTTTTGTCGTGCTCATCTTCACCATCAGCCTCTTCTTCACGATCACACCATCACTATATCATCGTGCACCATTTGCAAAGAGGCAGGACCTGTGTAAATACCACTGTTATGGGCATGCTCACACAAGACATCAACGCTTGTGACAGTGAACATCCTTCTGCAGTATTACACTATGCTGTGTAACGTGGTGAGACGCCGCAAAACTCAGTGCTTCGGGCATGTTCGCACAAATCATCAAGCGCTTTTGACAGTGCACCAACATCAAACATCTATCCGAATAATGTTGTATAAGTGACCAAAAGGCTGTGCATACCAGGCCGTTCGAACCGATGTCATTCTCCCCACCCCCACCTGAGCCCCCAACCCCCAACCCATAGATTCATCCGAAATGTCCTGACAATGAAGTGGCTACTGTGTCGGGGCTTGAGATTTTGGTTCCCGGTGGTCCCATCTTGCTGCCGAGCGGCTACAGGCGCCTTAATAATTACCTAATTATACTATTTTGGTTGTTCCTTATTATAGTTATAGTAATTACACTCTTGGCTGTTGGAACCCTGAGCCCCAAAGCCTTGACCCTACGACTGGGAACCTTGAGCTGTAGTGGCAGGTGGTCAAGTTCGGCTTGGCCATGATCAAGGCCATGCGCAACAGAGCGCAGTGCGATTTCGAACGCAGGTTGAACGGATTGATGGGCTTGGGTTAAGGGTGGAGCGTTTGTGCGCGCGCGTGTGTGCGTCTGCTTGTGTGTGTGCGTGCGGCGGACTTGATCTTTCGCAAGCCGTAGCACTTTCGTTTCTGATGCCCTACTGACAGAGGAAGACTAATGACCAATGCTTGTAGTTTAGTTAGGGATGGGGTGTCGGAGAGATCCTGCTTTTGATGTCGAAAATTGCAGACAGCTGCGACGAGTCTACATAAACTTTACCATTTCTCACAGAAGCACAGGGTAACGATCCAGGGTAGTGCGTGTAGCATCAACCTCTGCCTGAGGCTACTGCTGACTGGGACGAGGGGATGAAGATTAAGAAGCTGGTGGAGCCCAACGCGACCTGCTTGCCTTCTGATTGGTGCTTCACCGGTTTCAGGTTCAGCTCCCGATCCTCACTTAACCCTGCTGATGTGGCTACTTAACGTGCCGGAACCCGAAGCTGTCCGATAGGCCTAAGTTTGAAGTCGCGTTTTCCTCCTACAGCCACTGGCAGAGTCTCGTATCCCTTTCACCGGAAAACTATGAACCAACTACCTTGATAGTAGCCCTATTATAGACTGTTACTGTATGGGGGCAGTACCCAAACCATACTCAAGTTACAATGGAGAACCCGACATCCAACCTGCTGTCTCGAAATGTTTGGCCAGTGGCCAAGAAGGGTTCACGTTTGGACTGCACTTTGGGCAGGCTCAAAATCGCAGAGCGTAGGCCTCACACTGTGTCTCAGCTTTCTTGTCCAGGGTTTGGGATTGTGTGAGGCAACCTTCCAGCCGAAGTCCCAGGAAGGCAAACATCCCATACCATTATCTTATAGTACCCTTGTAGTATCCCTTATAGTATCCCTTATAGTAGCCCTTATAGACCCCTTTACATTATTAAGGCCCCTATATCCGAATCTCCAGTTCCCTGGCTCAGGTGAGAGTTACCTGCCGTGTTGGTCCTCGCCTCATGGGCTTGTGCTGGGGGGCTGGAATAGGGATCTTTGTAAGCAAGCTGTAGTGTAATTCTAACATGCTTTAGTCTTATTTGTATTATACTCCATCAGCTCGTCATGCTATATATGATACACACACATATACCTAGATACGTGTATATATATATATATATGTGTGTGTGCAAGATTATTTGCATATGCACTTGTTATTTAGGTTCTATGTACGTTTGTAGGTAGGTATAAAAACATCGACCAGTTCGTCCGTCGTACGGTCGGCACAAGCGGAAACACAGCTGCCTAACTTTAGACTATCCTGCTCAGTTCTGACAAATCCCGCGACTGTGAGGGCAATGTCCCGAGAATCCGTGGGCTTCTGACAGTTTGATTGCTGATGCTCCCGTTTGCGAGTGCCGATGCCCTGAACGACTGAACAATTGATAGAACATTCCCCTGAAAGAGACTGGCTGCAAGTTAAACATCCTGAGCTCCAGACACTGCAGTCTCAAAGTTCACAGCAAAATGACAGGCATGTTGCGATCCTTCGCAGGTGTGCATCACGGCCAGTGCATCGGTGGGATTGTTGGCGCCGGTCTCAGGGCAAATAGTATATTATTATAGTACGTTACATAAGATATACAATGTGTATATATATATACACAGAATATATATATATATATATATATATATATATATATATATATATATACATATTGTATCATATAGTAGAGTATAATACAGCATATAGTCCAATACAATATATGCATGTATATATATATATATACACCTATACCTACATATGTATGCGTATATATAATGATAACATAAGAATGTGCGTGTATCTCTGTGATCCGCCTGAAACATGCAGGCCGCAGGGAGTTTCGTGCAGCTCCCACAGCCCCAACGAACGGACCCAAACAAGGCAGTCGAGGTCCCAACCCTCCGAACCCTCAGGGATCCTCCTTTTCCCACTCTCTGAAAGGTGGCTGGTGGTAAATTTCTTGGGAGAGAGAGAGAGAGAGAGAGAGAGAGAGAGAGAGAGACAGAGAGAGAGAGGCATTTCTGCGGCGCGTTCTAGTCAGATTCTACTCACTCTCACACACACTCTCTCACTCTGTCCCTCCCTCTCTTTACCTCGAAGACGGCCCCCGACCCCCCAATACCATTTTCTTGAGGCACCGGGATGATGCGCTACCACCTCTTTGGCCAGTTCATGGGTCAGGTCGGGTGAGTTTTGTTTGGTGTTTGGGAGGCTTCAGGTCTCTTAGACTTAGGGTTAAATAGAGAATGTTAAAGGGTTTATAATAATATAAGAATATAATAATATAAGAATATAATAATATAAGAATATAATAATATAAGAATATAAGAATATAAGAACATAATAATATAAGAATATAAGAATATAAGAATATAATAATATAAGAATATAAGAATATAAGAATATAAGAATATAAGAATATAAGAATATAAGAACAAAACAATATAAGAATATAATAATATCAGAATATAAGAATATAAGAACAAAACAATATAAGAATATAATAATATCAGAATATAAGAATATAAGAATATAAGAATATAAGAACTTAAGAATATAAGAATATAAGAATATAAGAATATAAGAATATAAGAATATAAGGATATAAGAATATAAGAATATAAGAATATAATAATATAAGAATATAATAATATAAGAATATAAGAATACCCGGCCTCAGGGCCTCACGTAGAGGGAACCCTGTCGCATTGCAAAGTTGGTTTTTGCTCTGAGGCGAGGTTTAGGGTTTAGGGTTTAGGGTTTAGGGTTTAGGATTTAGGGTTTAGGGTTTAGGGTTTAGGATTTAGGGTTCAGGGTTTAGGGTTTAGGGTTTATGCGGATGCCGGCCCCGTCAAAGAGCGGGGCCAGTACACGGGAGTTTCCGAAAATTTGGGGTACCTTAATTTTGGGCTCCTTGCAATAAGGATCCTACTATTTAGGGTACTAATATTACGGTCCACTATTTTCGGAAACTCCCATAACTCCCATATCTCAGTACAGCCCTGGGTCTCTCGTTTAAATCGGTTTGCAAAGGCTTCACTGGCCAAGCTGCATTGCACGCCTGAGCTTTTTATCGGCACCGCTCCTCCTTGGTTCTGGATGACGAAGCCCGTGCGAAGCAAAGGCGATGTGTAGAGCAGATGAGATCACAGAGCCCACAGCAACTTTTGAACTCCACACACCCTTCGCCCTTCAAGCCACCGTTTGCCACCTTTACTGAACGAATCCAAGCATGTCGAAAACCTTGGACAGGTAGACATCTTGGAGGCTACTTCCCGCGAAGGTCAATGCCAGATCAGCAGAGCCTGCATGAAGCTGGACTTGAATAGTTTGGTTTAGGATGCGAGCCGCGGAGTACAATACAGGCTTTCGGGGCTCTCAGATGTATCGTGCGGCGGGTACGAGATTATGGTGTCGTGGCAGGGGTTGTGGGCTTTGGGATATTGGGCCAGCTGTTTCGCTTCTTTTGGGAGTGAGTGGTCTGGCGGCCAGGAGCTGGCAGAAGGTTTAGGGGAACGAAACGCCGAGCCAAATCTCTCGAGTCTTTGAGTCTGATCTGCAGGAGGTGGCCCGGGTGCGATGGTACGGTCTAGGGGGCCTAAACAATTGCCAAAACTATAGGAGGCAAAAAATTTTGAGGGTTCCGAATTAAAAGTATAGTATAATATACCCCGAAACCCTGTTCTAATAAACAAGATCCTGACATCCGTCACGAAATCCACACCGGGTTCGTGGTGTTGCACACGACAGTTTTCAACTGAAAGATGCTATCCGACTTGTTCTGACCACGCCCACAACCGCATCTAACATACCTAAGCATCATTTGTTCACAGCATGTCCAGTGAGTTCCACGCTCCAGTTCCAGTGTCTGCTAACAAGAAGAACGCAGTAGCCCCAAGCGCTAAACCTCAATGGGCTTCTTTAAAGAAGGGAGATCCGGCTTTTGAAGTCCTGTCCTTGCAGCGGGGATCTTCACATGGCTATATCGGTTAAGGGTTTACGGCCAAGTGGCTTCGGCTCAGGGACATCTCTTGTGGAGCTTTGAGCCCTGCAACGATGCACCTTGGGTACTGTCCCCACTCAGTAACAGTTGGATAATATTCATGATATAGCCATATTAGGACCTTAATAGTAGCCCTATTATAGACTGTTGCTGTGTGGGCGCAGTACCCAAGAGGCATCCCGCAAAAGCCGATGCCCAGGGAGAAGGTCTGGCAGGAGGCCGGCAAGGATGCGCTGAGCTACGAGGCATCGGTACAGGGTTTTGGGTTTTGGGTTTAGGGTTTATGGAAAAGGGCTGAACCCTAAACTTAAACCGACCTCGCGAGCGGACATTGCCTTCCAGCCATGCGAGAGGGAAAAAAACCGTTGGCATGGCAAGAATGGCTCGCCCCTAGGCCCAAGAACTCAAGCCGTACAGCTTGTCCGAAGCTGCAGTTCGGGGATTTCAGGGCTTCTGGGTCTCTGGGCATGTACTTGAAGTTGGGGCTGAGGGCATGGGATGGGAGTATTTTCCGGTCATGGAGCACGCCGACCGTATCAGAGACTTGTAGCAAGAACAGGCCCGCGGATCGTAACTTCCGGGACTTACTTTGGTTACTTGTAAGGCTTAGGGTTACAGGGTTGAGGGTGTAGGGGTTTAGAGGTTCATCGGGTTAGGGTTTAGGGTCTGTATGGGAGCAATCTGACTTTCCTGGCCGACTTCCCAAGCCCGGATGCAAAAAGAAAAGGTCTGTAGGGGCTTTGGGACTGCACCTTGGTGACAAACACATATGCACATATGAATGTATCTGTATCTGCAATCAGTTCACTCTTTCATGCATCACTTTAACCCTATGAAATCACAACAAGTGCCTAAACCCATCAAAGTATAACACATGTAAATGCTGTTGCGACTGTCAGCCGGCCTGATTGGCTGTCAACTTGTGCCTGTGAGAAACACGAAGAAGATTGGTTGTGTGTGCCCGCTGAGTTTCCGTGTATCAGCACATGCATGTGTGTCCCAATGCATCGATATCTTCTTGTATTCCTATCTACTTCAGGCCTGGGACCCGTTTTCGTCAACTACATAAAAGCCTCCTGCACAGTTGCCGGTTTCCGATGGCAATTCCTGTTCGGGTGGTCGTTCGTGTTAGCCTGATCGCCTGGTGGCTGTTTCTGCGGCCGCACATTTCCCTTGCAGTGCGGGAGATCAGTTTCGGTGACTACCACCCGGTGCTCCCCGCGCCCATGCGATGCGTGTCGCGAGCACGAAGAATTTTTGTCCTAAACCTGGTAGCATCGGTTCCGTGTCTTTTTGGTTTGCTCTGAGCACCTTCGGGGCCATGCTTCAGAGGGCTTCGTTTCGGCCTCAGTATCTCTAATGCTCACGACAGCCGCTGTGTGTGTGTGTGTGTTTGTGTGTGCATAGACACCTACACATCTGCGTGCGCGCACACACACACACGCACACATATGCAAAATGTAGGCCGGCGCACGTAACTGCCCTATACATTTGCAGCCAGTCTCCTGTGAAGCATTCGGAGAGGCCTGTGTGCTGCGCGAATTCGTACTTTGACCAAACCGTGCGCGACTGTTAACATGCTACTATTACTGTGATTAATACTAGTATTGTTATTTTTTACTAGCATCAATTTTTCACTCCTATTAGAACCAGTATTGTTACTATTACTCGTAGATAAGGAGACGAAGCTTTGATTCGTCAGAACGATCCTTGAGGGCTCAGTGTTATGACCAACAAGATCAGTCCCTCGACACAAGACTTTGCCAGTCTTCCTCAAATTCCCCCACCCCAAAGGCAATGAATCAGTAGTGATTCTGCGACTGTTGCTACTACTATATTGCTACTGATTGTATTGCTACTGCTACCACAGTCTGAGCCACTTGCACAACTAGTACCACTAGCACTACCACTGCCACTAACACCACTACCACTACTGCCACTTCTGCCACCACTGCCACCCTTCTGCTACTACTACTACTACTACTCCTCCTCCTCCTGCTGCTGCTGCTGCTGCTGCTCCTGCTCCTGCTCCTGCTCCTGCTCCTGCTCCTGCACCTGCACCTGCACCTGCTGCTGCTGCTGCTGCTGCTGCTGCTGCTACTTCTACTACGACGACGACTACCACTAGCACTACTACTACTACTGCTACTACTACTGCTACTATCTTTTTTTGTAGTGTTCTACTACTACTCCTCCTGCGGCGGCGACGCGGGCCAATGCTATTTGTAGTGAGACACAGGTAATGATTTCACGACCATCTGTTGTGCGGAACCACGACTCCCACGACAGGGTGGGTAGGCGAAAACAACAACACCTGCACCGGGACGTAGCCTGGGTGATGCTGTTTGTTTGTATTCGTTTACAGTGATTGCATTCTCATGTTGCGGCAGAAAGCCTGTCTCGTCTGGTGTGGACCTTTCTTGCCTGAGTTCCTGCTTGCTTGTGCGGGAGAGCGAGTCGAAACCTGCGCCGGTCTCATTCGCAGTATGTCTGAACTCTGTAGTTTGTGATGTCGCTCTGTTCTATGCTTGTTAGGGTTGGGGTTGCCGTCATGAAGCACATGCGTGGGTGTGAGCGGTCAAGCCCGAAAGCCTTAAACTCCGTCCGCAGGAGCGGGGGAAGAAGGAGGGCCAACCAGAGCTCCAAACTTCCAAGGGCGAGGTCCACTACTTCGAGGAAGTTGGTGCTCCGGCTGCTCAGGGCTTTGAGGGTCCTTGTCGTTGAGGCTTTGTTTGGGGGTTCAAGACGGGTAGCTTTGGCGCCCAGCAGCTCAGCAGAGGCAGGCTGGATGCAACAAGAAGGTTTGGCATGCCGCCAGGCGAGAGGTTGGTAGGACACCCTGAACCGAAAGGGTTTCCGATGTAGGGTTTGCAATGTACTCTCCAAACCACAGACCATTAAAGCTATTAGTGCGAGTGACAAAAATTAGTGAGACCTGAACGCAAGGATTGCTAAATGTTAAAATCCCAGAAGCACGCAGTGTCCGATCCAAACCGGGAGCTGTCGACTCCCAGCTCAACAGAAGATCACAAGATTCCTGACAAAGGTGGTGCTCCAACCTACTTGGTGGAGGTCGGGCGGATCCGAAGCCGGCACTAACGTTTGCCAGTATACTCTCCAAGCATCCCTGTTGTTGTTATTCTGTTCCTTCTTCTCAACCATTGTGCGGCTGTGATGGTTTACCACTGGTTGTTTACATTGTCGTTGTTCTTGTCATGGCTTTCTTGACTTCCTGCTGCTACAACAGCAAGAAGTAGTGCCTCCAGTAGTTCCAGTAGTACAAGTAGTGGTTGATATTATCATTGTTGTTTTACAGATATTACTATTTACTACCACTATTAGTAGGAGTAGCAGTAGGAGTCGGAGTCGGAGTAGTAGCAGCAGCAGCAGCAGTAGTCTTCGTGGTGGTGGTGGTGGTAATGGTAGTGATGGTAGTAGTGTTCACTCAATTTTTGGCTATCGTTGTTTTCACCATCGTTGTTGTTTTCCACAGTCTTCCACATTCGATCGGGCTTGGGGCGCTCAGGCGGGCAGTGTCTTCGTTTTGTAGCTTTTTCGATGAGGAAGGGGGCAGGGGAGGATTTCTGCCGGTAGCAAGCTAGATTTCGCCCGGTAATTACAAAGCACGCGAAAACACACCTATGCTTTTGCGCGGTTTGCGCCCAACAAGTGCACAAGAATGGGTCGGCAGAACCATGCTGAAGATTTTGACTGCTGATGCTCGGGGTGATGGTCATGATGATTATATTCATGATTCGGCATCAACCTCATAGCCATCATCATCATCCGCAGCATCGTTATCGTCACGATCATGGCCGCACATTCCTTAGCTAGACTTCGGACGTCCGTAGGCACAGTTGGGAAACCATGCTTTGCGCCCAACACATGTACAAACCCGGGTTCACGCCGTGGGACGGAGGAAGGGAGGCAACCAAACAAGCAGCAACACACAAATCTCGATTCCCCATCGCGAGGCCGCAAGTGAATCCAAACCGAACCCCCAAAACCGACTTGTGCCAAAACCCTGGACTTTGCACGAGGCCAGCCTTGTCTCACGCCGGGGAGCTCGGGATTGCCGGCATCAATGCATGTTCGAATCCTATGCCCTGAAGTCCTGTTCAGTGGGCTTTTGGGAGTATTCACTCCATTGTTCCTACACTCGAGAGTGAGTCCCTTCGGGCTTGGTGGGTCCAGTATCTACAGCTCGGACGTTGTGGTTGCATTTTTTTTCTTGCGAAGTTCGGCTAGCGGGTACTATGATGGACCGAGCTCAGCTTCGGGTAGCCGCACCCCACGAAAGCCCGCGGACGGTTGTCCCAGTTGCTGCTGTTTGAGGAAGAGCACTAGGGCCCAGAAGCCCAGCCCAGACGCCCTACACCCAAAAGCCCCGAGGCTGACCCCCAGCAATGGATCATGAACCCTCTTGTGGTGTTTGGGGCTTGGAACAAGCCTAAACCATAGTGATGATTTTTTTTTGGTAGGGTTGGGGGCTTAGGATCAGTTCTTTAGCATTGGGTGCCAGCCCAGGCCCTTTGTCCCCGACTCTCTGAATTTTCTCTTCTCCTCATCGGTGACCCTAATATAGTACCAGTAGAATCCTTATTAGAAGGACACCAAAATCATGTACCCTAGTATGATACCCTAAATAGTAGAATCCTTATTATAAGGACCCCTAAATAAGGTACCCCTCCTTTCTCTCTGAGGCGTGAAGGGTTTGGAAGAGGACGTGTGGCATTTTAAGCAGCACCTCACGCAACTGGAGAGGCGGGGCTCGGAATTGGTCGGGTCCTATACTATTTTGGGGTTCCTTGATACAATTATAGTATAATGGGCCCAAAAGCCCTATTAAGTCTATGAAGGCCCCTACATGGTTTAACTTTGAGACGGTTGCTGTAGTGGAAGCATAGTTTTGGGAAGCGACCAAGTGAAAGGCATGAAGACACATGTGGTTGTTGCTTTACCAGCTATTGTTAACGATCACCCATGCGGGAATGGGGCCAAAAAGCCTTGTGCCAGCAGCAAACGCATATGGAAGCGGCTGTCGCAACACCATGCAGCGCCGCAGACTGTGTAACACGTATTTCGCCCGATCTTGCAGAGACAAGCAGGTTTGAGCTTCAAGCAACCTAGGTTCTAAGGCAACGACAAAGCAGCAGCCCGAAGAATGATGCAGCCACCGTTGTTTGTGTGGTTCGTTTTCCATTGCTGCATTGTAGCCATGTGCTTTTCTGAGCTTCGCAGGCTCATTCCGGGCAACCGAAATGACGACGAAATGGATGAGGCAGGGACTTCGGACGAGAATTCATTCGAGTTTGGGGTTTCGGGTTTATGGGCTTGGGGCTTACTTCCCGAATCTTTAAGGATCTTGGAGTTGTAGCCACGTGGTCGTTGCATCCTGAAACTTGGGATGACCAGTTGATCAGTTTTTGAAACCTGGGTAGCCGTGTGGCACGAGCCCACAGCACAGTCGGCGCCTCGGTTCCTGGCATATGCGTAGTCCAGGTGCTAAGGGGCTTGGGGTTTAGGGCTTGGGGTTTAGGCTTAGGGGTCGAGCGGATCTGGCTAGTCCTCAAGCCCAGTAGCAAAAAGGGGCTTAGGGCTCAGGGGCCTCCCTTGAAATGCTCGAGAGAGCTATGAAGTCATACGGCTGGAGGCATTTGAGACCTCGTTCAAAAAGGGTTTAGGGACGGTAAATTTTCAAGCCGAGCCCGACTCCGAAAGCCCAAACCCCCTTTGCAGCACCGAAGAGTCTTGAGGACTCATCACACCTTAAAGCCTACCGGCCCCACCTTATACCCAAAAGTCCCTCCCAAAGCTTACCTCTCAGGTTGGTCATTTGCCGCGCATTCAGAAAGTTTTAGAAAGTAAGGCAAGCAGAAACTAACCATTGATATTCTGGGAGCTAAGGAGCCAGGGATGATGATAATCCCTACTAAAGGAGCTAAAGAGCCAAGGGAACCCCCAAAACCACTGGTTAGCTAAGATTCTTCTTTTCAAGAGTAAGGAGCCTCACCAAAGCAGTCCTGGTTTGCATCAACCTAGGGCCCTGAAGCCATAAGACCTCTTCGCCGGTCCGCCCCGGGTGTGTCACAAGTGGAACATCAAGCTGTAAAGCCCGAGAGCAAACCTTGAACTAAGTCGGCCAAGACTGCTCGAAGGATTGTTGCAGAGGACTTGAAAAAGGCTTATGCCTAGAAGAGCTACGATTGTTATATGGTTATGGTCCCACTTACAGCCGCACCTAGGCCTCCAACCGTGCCAGGATTGGGATTGGGATACCCGTGGCAGAGACATCTAGCGACGGAGGCTCGAAGGGCGTGGATTCCGGTACTCTGAAGGGTTGAGAGGTTCAGGGTGGGTTTTGGCGCGTGGGCTCTGCAGTGGAGATTAGGATTAGGTTTTGCGGTCACTTCGCCCTGGCAAACGCCGAACGGCTCCCAGCATGTGAGCGATCCTAGGTGTGGCTACATTCGAGCCTGCAGCCACAGATCCTCCAGCCGCAAACCTGAACCCCAAGCAGCAGACCCGAAGCACCCACAACCTCGCCGCAAGGCATCTAAGCACCGTAAGTAAACTCCTATGTGTCCTAGGCTGCCGAACCCTTAACCCCAGCCAAGCATGCGCTTCTCGCTGCTGCCTGCCCTCTTCACCGGCGCCGCGCTGGCTGCCGGGGATTCCGACGAGCCATCTGCGGAGTCTAGCACAGGCCTACGATTTCGGGCTTTCAGGGTTGAAGACCTCCATCAAGGGGTTGACATTGAAAGCTAGAGACTTGAGGGTTCCAGCGGGCTTTAGCGAGGGCCTGCAGGGCACTGCAGGGCACTGCAGGGCACTGCAGCTCAGCAACTGTTTCTACTCAGGGCTAGGGGTGTTGTTGCTTGCAGGCTTTGAAAGGTTGTGATGCGAAACACACTCCCTGTCTCTGCTCGCTCTCTGTCTCTTTTTATTTCGGGCGCTCGCTCGCCCTCTGTCCCTCTCTTTGTGGTGCTAACTTGTTCGCAGGCAGAAGCGGTCCCACATGTCTTGAGACCGCCATCTGAAGAGTATCGGTTAGTATCGCAGCAGCTTCCACAAGTCTTGAAGAACCGTGACATCCGTGACGGAGCCCAACACTTTTTATTGCAAGATTCCCGAAACCCTCACCACCTTGAATAACTGCAGTCTAGTTGTTCCAGGCACCGTATCAGACAAAGGCGCTGGGAGGAAGAGGCCGCCTCGGCCCTGGTATCAGATTTATGCTGCTTGGCTATACATGTGGGATTTCCGAAAAATGGGGGTACCTTTTTGGGGGGTCCTTATAGCGAAGGTCCTACTATTCGGGGTACTATATTCGGAACCCCTATTTTCGGAAACTCCCATGTCAGAGTTTGGAGGAGTCGTGGGAGGTGCCAAGTTCGAAACCAGCAGTAGCTCCCACTACGCCGGAACCGAGACAGGAGACACAGGACTTAATATAGGGGCCTGAACAATTTCCTTTGGGGGGGTTCGTTTTTTTATATGTATATTCTAGTTGTAAAGGCCCCTATATTAGGTCTCTTGCCAATTGTGTGTTTGTTCAGTTGTCAGCACATTGGCAATGATTTTTTGAGTTCCCACTGTGCTCTCGAGGTGATCTAGGCTTCGAGGTATTCAAGCCTCATAAAGATAGATGTTCAGTGAGTGCCGCACTTTCGGCCATGCAGTGTCGAACTTGTCCTATGCGTGGTTTAGGTGCCTTGAGGCATGATGCGTTCCACGGCACTATGTCAGAAGCATATAGGGATGTCTGATGCATGGGGTTGCTGAACGCTTCTCCGATTTCGGAGTGGAGAGTTGGTTTGGTTCACAATTTTGCTGTTTCGGATCGAAAGAACATCGTACTTCGACGCTGTCCCCCGAAGAACAGCCGTCTTCTGCATCAGGGTTTTCCAAAACATGATACTGTTGACGAAGAACGAAGCTCTTCACGTTCCACGTCGTCAGGTAGCTGACCGACCTAGCTGTGGCAATGAGCTGTCAGATCGCAAGGAGAGCAACGTCAAGACAGTCATCTTCTACTCACTGAGCGCAGTTGTCGTTGTCGGCTACCTGGGCGACAAGTGCCACGGCTCAACTTGCTCCAGGGGCCATCTAACACCCGATCCCAAGATCCTGATGAAGCGTGCTGAGACCCAAAGACGTGCAAAGTAGGACTGCCTCCCACCCCCCCCCCCACCCCCCCTCCACATGCCCCAATGCTCGGAATCCCCAGCCACACACATGCCCAAATTCTAGACTCCCTGAAACAAGAACCCCCTGCCGCACCTGTGCTATCCGAGCTATCGACTTCAACCGTCGGCCGGTCTGAAACTTAGGGGTACTGTAGATTCCTTTTTAGATCTTTGGTTATTATAACCCCTAAGAAACAGCTAAAAAACTCGTAAGAAACAGCTAAAATCATAATTTTTGGTAGGGGTCTAAGTTCAATTTAGAAACGGGAGGGATCTTGCACGCAAAGCCGAAAACCAGGAACTCCCCAAGCCAACGACTCGGGAGTTTCCGAAATTTAGGGGTACCGTATTTTGGGATCCTTATACTAAGGATCCGACTATTGGGGTCCCCTATTTTTGGAAACTCCCAATCCGAGCCTGTGACATTTGACTCACGTTCGGTGGATCGCCTCTGACTCATCGGGTGCATTGGTTTGCCACTCGGATGAAATGACCGGGGATCAGGCCACACGCTTATTTCGCGGAGCCTCCGGCAATGTTCAGGGAAGAAGGGTCTCTCAACAAACACGTGGCTTTTCAGGCCGTCGGAGCGTCGCCGAGTGGGCACACGAATGTAGGATTGCGTGATGCACTTGTTGCTTGCATGGCACATACATGGTTTTGGGGCAATGGTTCGGGCATCTCGCGACACTCGTGTGCACCAATTGGAGGAATGCTCTGAGACTTATGCAACCAAAGTCGAAAAGTAATCCAAAAGCCCAAGACAGTAGAGCTATAACGCAATACCCGCAAGCCTACACAGGTATTACGAGCACCTGCGGCGCCAGCGGAAGCGTTCCCGCGAGAAAGCGCGGCCGAGGCCAACCCAGGACGGGTTTCAAGTAAGGGCGAATGATTTTGGAAAGGTTTTTCTTTAAGCCCTAAACCTATAGTACTTTCGCACTGGCATTACGGTATTTGGAGGGTTTTGCTTGGGAGTAGATCTTGCATTCCAGAGTGTATCCGGTTGAGAGACTGGTACTTCAGGGGTTACATTATACAGAATACCCCGAAACCCATGTCCATTTATGCAGGCCGCGACGGTCCCAACAAGATCTCTTCGAAGGCTTTCGATTTCACACCCGAAGCCGTATATAACTCCTAATTTACACCTTCTGACCCTAAATCCTCAACCCCAACTCCTAAACCCGCGCACACCAAGAGACCTCACCTGGCCAGTCCGCGTTGTGAGAGCATAGACCTTTACGCATTTCGAGGGGGTTTCGGATCATTCCCGAGGCTAGCCACCAAGTGTTTACTAGTCGCCGTCTTCCCCTGGGACACGTTCCGGACCAGAATCAAGCCAAAGCGGGCATGCTTGGGTCACCTGAGTCCGAAAGTTAGGTGCATGTGAATAAACTTTCGTTGTTTTTGTGGTTTGCGGTGCACTCCCATTTGAGGAGAGATCACAGAATCAAGGCCAGCAAGAGGCAGCGCGGGAAGCGGAAGTCTCATTCGATTAGAGGTCCCTGGAGGATCCTGGAGGTACAGACACCTAGCTCTTAATGTCAGCCCTGTACCAGTGCGTGTCTGATGTCTGTTGAAATTAGTTTCCCGGTTAATGAAGGCGTCAAGACAGTTCTTGGTTTTCATTGGTTATAAAATGAATTTTACTGTTGATGGGCATGGGCCCTTACTATCTCCAACTCCGAGTATCAAACCTGGGTCCTCTGGGCTGAGGACCTCAGTTTTGCATCGGATGGTTTGGGAAGTTTAGGCTCCAGATGCGTCGACATTTTGGTTTAATTTTCTGGTAGAAAATCTGTTCCAAAGCCGGGTTAATCTAAAAGCTGACGAAGCTGACACATCAAAAATCCAGAACTCTTTTACTAATACTACTATACGATGTTTCTTCACCAGCTCGTTAATTATACTGATATTACTTGAGTGATAGTTTTTAGTTTCAGGTTTGTGTCTGTTATCATCATTGCCACTACCGTTGTCATTATCACCAGTCGGTCAATGTTTTCTTATTAGTGTTATTACTAATTATTACTATTTTTAGTATTCATTGTTCTTCTGTCTTGTCCATACATGTAAGGCAATGTAAGGTTACGATCGATGTTCAATACGGGTACCATAATTACGAGTATTGGTAGTCGCCATGAGGATTAGCATGACGGTGGTTAATGGTAGCAACATCATGATCATGGTATTAACTATGTTTAACTTATGATTACACTACTATCACTACTAGTTCGTGTAATGTTAAATACATACGCATGCATACGTACATCGAACGTCAAAGGCGTGCAAAGGTTTGTTCAAGCAAAGCCAAATAATAAAGCCCGGGCCTCATAGTGCTACCCCCGTCTTCCCATGAAAACCCAAGCACAAGCACGGCCTTGCATTGGGAGGTCCTTGTGGAGGCCATTAAGACAGCCATCCGGCGAAGGGGACCCGATGCCTGAGCCGTGTGAAGTGTTTGGGCTAGGCCGGCGAGGTGATGATGCAGCTGCGAAGCACCTGGCAAAACTCTTTCAACATACTCGAATTCCAGTTGTGTAACCTGATCTTGCGAAATCTGACGTGGTGTCCGTCGGGCGTGCGCGCAATCGGCTATACGAGCCTTAGACTCCCCGGACCTATTGGTTTCACCGGAGCCACCCAGCGGCCTCGTCGCCTGCCAAAAAGAAATCGGCTTGAAGATGGATTGCTTAGAAATCCCTATAGCCTATAGATCACTGTAGAGCCCTTATAAAGCGTAACAAATCCCTATAGATGGATCCAAGCCCTCGTTGGAAAGAATGCAACCTTCAATCTCCGATGCGGATGCCCAGATTCCATCCGACACAGCATCTGAGCACCCCACCTGTTAAACATGCCACGCTCCGAGGTCACTAACTGCCCTACACCCCGGGAGCATACACGATCTTCCTGACAGCTTGGTGCCGAGGCCCCCAAATCCTGAAAAGCTCGAGCTTTGTGTGTCAGTGGCCCCGTTCTACGCTAGATACTCACGGCTAAGTCCTCACCGCTTGTCGCAGGGTGCCTGTCCATGACATGCTCCTCGTCGGAGCCTCATCGAGTGGCCCGAATTCTGTATACATAGATACGTATATACTCACAT